CTACACGACTGGGGGATGAACCCAAAATACCTCCTCCCACTCTTCCAAAAGTGGGGGACTCCCCAAGTCGACGTCTTTGCAGACAGGAACAACAAGCAGTGTCACCTGTTCTGCAGTCGAGGAGGCAAGGACCCTCACTCACTGGGTGACGGCCTTCTTTACCCTTGGTCATCAGGACGCCTTTACCTGTTCCCCCCCTTGCCTCTGCTTCTGAGAGTGGTCTGCAAGATTCACAAGGAAGCCATGGACTGTATCCTAATAACACCATGGTGGCCAAGACAACCTTGGTTTTCAACAGTCCTCGAGCTATCACTGGGGATGTACCATCAGTTCCCCCCGTCTCCGGACCTCCTCATCCTCTCAGACTCCCCCGTCCTGCATCACAATATCCCTCAGTTGAAACTAACGGCATGGCGCATAACACCACAGGCTTCTCCTCCCGTGTAGCTAATGTCCTCCTGAATTCCAGAAAGCCAACCACACGGAAGTCATATGACTATAAATGGAGGAAGTTCTGTTCTTTTCTGGGTGAGGGCATCACTCATGCCACCTCGGCTGGACTTGATAGAGTTTTTAGTTTTCTTCTCTCATTAGCTGACTCGGGACTTTCCCATTCGTCATTAAAAGTTTATTTGGCCGCGTTATCGGCATACCATGTTCCAGTTGAAGGATGTACTTTGTTTTCACATCCACTTTCAAAACGGTTTTTGCAAGGTTTGCTTCACCTTTACCCTCCTCTCAAAACTCCAGCTGCTCCATGGGACCTTCCACTAGTTCTGCGCCAATTGACGAGAAAGCCCTTCGAGCCACTCACAACATGCGAGCTCAAACTCTTGGCTTGGAAAATGGCCTTTTTAATTGCCATCACCTCGGCTAGGCGAGTGGGAGAGATTCTGGCTTTCCGCCACGACACACCCTACCTGTCGTTTCTGCCAGATGGAGTACGCTTAGTGCCGGACATTTCCTTCCTGCCCAAGGTGGTGTCAGAGTTCCACCTGCAGGCAGAGGTCTTCCTACCTGACTTCTTTCCGAACCCCATGTCAGAGGAGGTCAGATTGCTTCACACTCTGGATGTCAAGAGGGCTCTCTTGTTCTATCTGCAGAGGACACATCCAACTAGACGAGACCCACAGCTATTCGTCTTGTATGCTTCGGCACAGCTAGGCAGTCGCATCACGGCGCAACGCCTCTCAAAGTGGATCGTAGCCTGGCCCTATCAAGGCTCATTCCACCAGGGCTGTTGCGATTTCCACTGCCTTTCTCCAGGGAGTGCCGTTGACGGACATTTGCAAAGCTGCTACCTGGGCCACGCCTAACACTTTCATCAGGCACTACGCCCTAGACGTCCGTACAAACACCGGTACCAACATGGGATGTCAAATTCTGTCTTCGGCTACGCAGTAAGAGACCTGCCAGCACCCACCTCCAGGTAGGCTACTGCTCGCTAATCTCCCATGGGTGTGAAGCACAGAGACCACATCAAAGATAAGCAGGTTGCTTACCAGTAACTGGTGATCTTCGGGTGGTCATCTGTGCATTCACACCACCCGCCCTCCTTCCCCGTTGCTGTCAGCGTCTACATTTTTGAATGGGGGTTGATTTGCGGCGGTACTTTGAAGGAGCTGGTGGGATGTCTGTGCCCACCCCTCTAGGCATGCGCGGTGGGGTTCCTGCGCATGCCCAGAGGGACTGGGCGCGAAAATCCGTTGAAAAGAGCTTGCTGCAGCACCAATCAATCCAGCACGTGCGCAGTAGATCCCATGGGTGTGAATGCACAGATGACCACTCAAAGATCACCAGTTACTGGTAAGCAACCTGTTTTTTTTTTTCAATAACTCACTCTGTGGAAACAGTTTCCGTGGATCTTGGCCATAATTTTGTGATGCCGGGCGACTTGCATATTTTCAGAGTGACTGTCCAGTTGTTGGAGTATTTATTTATTTATTTATTTCGATTTATATCCCGCCTTGCCTGACAGGAGGCTCAAGACGGCGGAGTACAGTGAATAGTTGTGCTAATATAGCAGTAAATAGAGTTGGGTTTGTGTGTTTGTGTACATGGCTTTCCTGTATTCTGATCCTCTTTTATTGTTCCTTTCTAGGGAGGATTTAGGTTTTAGGTTTATTTCTGAACAGGTCAGTCATCACCCACCTGTCAGCGCATTTTATTCTGAAGGCTTAAACCAGGATTTTGTTTTTCATGGATCAATTTACCCGAAGCTGAAGTTCTGGGGGAAAAGCGTGGAAGCAGAACCCCGGGGAACAATAACGCTGGAGCTTTTAAAGTATGTTCGATTTTTCAGTAGTTACCTTAAAACAATCCAAAGTGAATAAGAAATGCATAAAAGATCTTTTCTTAGATTTTATTTATTTATTTATTTATTTATTTAAACTTATATCCCGCTCTCCCCGGAGGCTCAGGGCGGCTAACAGGGGCATACGCCAAATAATAACAATAAAACCAGTATAAAATACACAGAAATACAAAAACAGTTAAATAATTAACTAAATTCATAAAACAGTTTGGTGCTCCCCTACTCAATTCCAAATTTTACAATCAAGATGGTGTTCTCATATTATGTGTTTGTGAATAGATAAATGCTTATATGGTTTGAGCTTTTCTGCTCCAGACCAAAATAGGAGGCATTGAGTGCCTATTCACAAATTAATTGACTGTTTTTGAAAAACTATCGTGATAATGATTGAGAGGGATATGATAACCATCTTCAAGTACTTGAAGGGCTGTCATATAGAGGATGGTGCGGAGTTGTTTTCTGTTGCCCCAGAAGGTCAGACCAGAACCAACAGGTTGAAATTAAATCAAAACAGTTTTTGGCTAAACATTAGGAAGAACTTCCTGACATAGTGGTTCCTCAGTGGAGCAGGCTTCCTCAGGAGGTTGTGGGTTCTCCTTCTTTGGAGGTTTTTAAACAGAGGCTAGATGGCTATCTTGACATCAGTGCTGATTCTGTGAACTTAGGCAGATCACGAGATGGGAAGGCAGGGAGGGTTGCATCAGTGCTTAGTTCTCATAGCCCTTTCTACACACCCAGGGAAATGCTGATCGCCACTTTGGGTGTCAGGAAGCAATTTTTCTCCAGGCCAGTTTGGCCAGGGATCCTGGAGGATTTTTTTACCATCTTCTGGGCATGGAGCAAGGGTAACTGGGTGTATGGGGGGGAGGTATTTGTGAATTTCCTGCATTGTGCAAGGGTTGGACTAGATGACCCCTGAAGATCCCTCCCATGATCCCCTCCCAGTTAACGTTTACTGAAACAAAAAGTACATTTTTCGCACCTGTCCAATTGCACTTTTAAAAACTCTGAAATATTTTGTGTGATGCTTTTCTTGCCTATGTATGGTTGTCATAGCAGCCTGAATAGCCCAGACCTGATCTCATCAGAGTTTGGAACTTGGAAGCTAAGCAGGGGGGGGCCTGGTTAGTATTTGAATGGGAGATCACCAAGAAAGATGAGAGCTTGCTATGCAGAAGACAATGGCAAACTGCCTCTACTCGTTTCTTCTCTTGAAAACCCCAGTGAGGGGTTGGCATAAGTAGATTGCGACTTGATGCCATGTAAAAATAACAGTAATAATAGTATTCTTTGTCAGATAATAATAGATATCACCGACTTAAGAATTTTGTAGTCTGCCATTTTGAATAACAAGTAGAAAATGTTGGCAAATGGATAAGAATAATACAGTTATCAGCATACAAAAGCATGCGTTGAATCGAGCATTTTAGTTCTGCCTAATGGAAGAGCTTTCCTGTGATGGAAAGCATGTTCTCCCACTATGGAGAACTCTTATATTGGTAGGACTTGCCTCTTTCTGACTTGGAATATTCCTTGTGTTAGAGGAAGCCTCCACCATTAGTTGAGTGCAAGTGTTGGATCCAACCCATAACAAAAGCTGAAATTCTTGATGAGTGTACAAAACACACCTTAAAACATTTTCTATAATAATATAATCTAAAATCCTACATAGTTCAAAAACTAAGCAGCAAATCCATAGAGATAAATGTGTCACTCAGTAACAAGATGCTGGCCAAGTTTCTAATACTTCAGATTTATTTCTTAAGACAATTGTCTGCCCACCAGTGGAACTGATACTCCACCAGAGTTAATCAGCTTTCCCCTGTCTTTTATTTGATGTGATGTGGAGACCTTATGACAGGGGTGTCCAATAGACATTTCATTTTCTGAATCCTGCAAAGGTTGAGCATAATCTGCTCATTCTGTAAAATTAAATTAAATTTAAAAATTTAATTATCGTATAGTATTGTGTGTGGAATAGCCAGGAGATCCTGAAGGATTGTTTGGCTGCCTGAAGCTGTAGCTCACTTTTGGCATCACTAGGTGGCGAGCTATGCTTATTTTTAGGCTGAGAGTACTGTGACTTGCCCAAGGTCACCCAGCTGACTTCAAGTGGGGAAGTGGGGAATCAAACTTGGTTCTCCAGATTAGAGTCCTCCGCTCTTAACCACTGTACCAAGCTGGCTCTCATTCTGTAATTTACCATAAGTCTCTTCTGGCAGAAAGATCCTCAGAGTGACTTTAGGTGCCTTGTGATTTAAGATCGCCCAACGACAGCTGGGTCCATTCAGCTGATTAAAATGGGTTTGGTGCTGAATATTTCCAGACCTCCCTCCTCTCCCTCCTTTCATATATGAAACTGAATTGAAGAAAAGGCATTTGGGGCTTTTTTATTTGAAAGGAGGCAGCTAAGGTAGGGGGATATGATAGGAATTAAGTTATAGAACAGGTGGAGAGATGATGTTCTCTGTGTGTATTAATATTAGAAGCTGGAGTAACAATGACGTTCACTTGCAATGGATTTAGGACAGATGACAGAAAATATTGCTTGTTGCATGGTTAACATGGAGTTCTCTGCTATAAGATGTGTTTCTGGATGTAGATATAGATTAATGTAAGAGAGGTCTGGCAGTGGCCCTCAGTTCCCTTCATATGCAAAGGCATTAGAGCGTTTTGGATGACACTTCCATGTTAGATCCTTCCAGTCTTGTTTTTGCCCAGACAGAGACAGCACTGGTCACCCTCACGGATGACCTCTGGAGGCATCTGGATCGGAGCGGATTGGCAGTGCGGCTGCAGTTAGACCTGTCAGCAGCATTCGACACTGTCAACCATCAGCTACTGTTTCACTGCATTGCTGACACTGGAGTCCAGGGGTCTGCTTTGCAATGGCTTGCCTCCTTCCTTCAGGGTCTGGGGGAAAGGGTGGCACTAGGGAAACAGCTATCCTGAAGGCACCCACTGATCTGTGGAGTGCCCCAAGGGGTGGTCCTTTCCCTGATGCTGTTTGACATCTGTATGCACCCCCTTGACCAGATTGCCCAGAGGTATGGACTGGGATGTCACCAGTATGCAGATGACACCCAGATCTATTTGTTGTTGAGTGGCCAGTCTGACTCTAATCTAAGAGATCTGGACCTGGCGCTACAAGCCGTGGCTGGATGGCTTAGATTGAGCCAACTGAAATTGAATCAGACAAAGATGGATGTCCTGTGCCTGAGCCGGGGCGGCCCAGGGCTAGGGATCCCACTTTTGACCTTAGATGAGGCTCCGCTGGTGCCAGTGTCAGAGGTTAGGAGTTTGGGAGTGCTTTTGGATGCCTCTTTAACAATGGAGGCCCTGGTCACAGCCACAGCCAAGTCAGCGGATGATTAGGCAGCTGGTTCTGTTCCTCGAACGCAATGACTTGGCAACGGTGATCCATGCGATGGTCACCTTGTGATTAGACTACTGTAATGCTTTCTACATGGGGCTGCCTTTGTCCCAAATCTGGAAGCTATAGCTGGTGCACAATGCTGCAGCCAGGCTTCTGATGGGTCTCCCCATGCAGGAGCACATCCAGCATGTGTTGAAAGCATTGCACTGGCTGCTGAATTAGCTTCAAGGTGCTGGTTCTCACATTTAAAGGCCTTTATGGTCAGGGGCCTACATACCTGAGGGACTGCCTTTCCCCACATGTCCCCCAGAGAGCACTGCATTCAGGGTATCAAAATCAATTGGTCCTCCTGGGTCTCAAAGATGCCAGGCTAGCCAGGGCCAGGGCCTTCTCAGTGGCAGCTCCGCACTGGTGGAACGAGCTCCCCGAAGGCACCAGGGCCCTGTGGGACCTCTTACAGTTCCGCAGGGCCTGCAAGACGGCGCTCTTCCACCGTCCTTCAATCAAGAAGCTGCATCTAACTAAGGCCCTGTCCCCCCCTGGAATCTACCTCCAGCAGCCTGTGCTTGCCGGTATAGATGCTTCAAGATCAAGATGAGCTGATCATAAACACAGGTTGTATCCCACTATGATTTGTTCCACCATCGTTATGTAATACTATTATCATCAGTACTAGGACTTACGATCGTTTGATTGTTCTATAATTCTTATAGAATTGGTTTTATGTGTTTTAACCCTCATGTAAGCCGCCTTGAGCCTACCTTGGTGGAGAGGGCGGGGTAAAAATAAAATAAATAATACTGAATTGTAGTGGCTGTCACCTCCCATGATATGCAAAGGCATTATACTAAATATCTGCTTTGGGAGAGGGCGAATATTGAAGGAAGAATCACGCCAATGTTGGATCACGCCAATGGCCCATCCAGTCCAACACTCTGTCACACAGTGGCCAAAAATAGCAGGTGCCATCAGGAGGTCCAGCAGTGGGGCCAGGACACTAGAAGCCCTCCCACTGTTTCCCCCCCAAACACCAAGAAGACAGAGCATCACTTGCCCCAGCCTGTGAGTTCCTATCTATACCTTGTGGCTAATAGCCACTGATGGACCTCTGCTCCATATGTTTATCCAGTTCCCTCTTGAAGCTGTACATGCTTGTAGCTGCCGCCACCTCCTGTGGCCGTGAATTCCATGTGTTAATCACTCTTTGTGTGAAGATGTATTGGGTGAAGAAGTTTGCATGGTTTTATCCTATATCTTATACTGTATGATCACAATGATGCTCGCATTGCTCAGTTTTGTACTCCTGGTCCTATTGCATTGTCCATTTGATGTCCCATGTTGTACAGTTACACATACACACACACACCGTACTCCATAATGCGCCTTGAGTCTCAGCGAGAAAAGAGCTATAGATTAGCTAAATAAATATAAAAATGATCGGAGCAGATGGGATGATTGGGCACTCATGAAGGAACTACGCAAACCTATTTTAGATCCGGCATTCGCATTGGATTGGCTGTTCGGGGGCAATTGATTAAAGTTCTGTTTGAGAACAGTGTCTTATGAGACTTGAAAGACTTTCATCAGAACGAGGAGAAGACTCGCACATCAGAAGGCTTTATTTCCCCCCCTGGTAGAACAAGTTCTGTATTGAACAATCTCTCCCAGTCGCTTCTCTTACAGAAGCCCTGACTTGACATGAACGGTGCTTTCATCATCCTGAAACATTTTTACTCTTCCATCGAGGGGGGGGGGGGGCAGAAAGCTTTTTGCACAGCTTCTGTGAATTCCACTGGGACTCCAACAGGGAAATTTTCTTAGAGATGGTCCAGTTCATTTGAGCAAAATAAAATCGAGCAGGCAGCCCAACAGTTAGGTAGAAATGACAGTCTGCTCTGTGTGTGTGTGCATTAATGAAGAATAATAGCATTAATTTGGACTAGCCTTCACATGCTACAGTACCAAAACAGATCTGTAACATGTGAGATGATCCCCTCAGGAGCTGTTATGGGGCTTTGGTGAAAGGTGAGGGAATAGATGTTTTTTAATGCAATAACCGTTCAGATTCCAGTTTGCCCGATAGCTTTGCGTTGCGTGTGTGGAGTCGTAAGTCGTACGGGAAGAGTAATACTTTAAGAGGTGTTGCAATGCTAAGCCGAGACAGAATTTGCTGTTTAAAGATAAGACTGCTAATTTACAGATGACTCAGTCTTCAAAATATGTTTTGACTGAGCCAGTAAAAACAGGATGGCAGTTGTTGAGAGACCAGCAGTCTGACCATTTTTAGAAGCATCATTGCAATTAAGACCCACACTGCACATTCCGTGTCAATGCCCTGCTGTCCGTTTTGATGAGGAAAGTCTACTTTCACTGGGGAGGGGAGAGAATGTTTTAACCCTTTCCCCAGCTGCTATTTACACATGCAAATCTCCCTCGCTCCAGCAGGGTCTTAAATGCTTGTACACAATTGCACAGATAACAAATTCCAGGATTGCATTTCTCAAATAAATGTGCTGTCTCACGTCAGTGGTGGAAAGTGCCATGGAGTTAAAGCCAACTTATGGTGACCCCATACGGTTTTCAGGGCAAGAGACAAAGATGGTTTGCCATTGTCCGCTTCTGCATAGCAACCCTGGAGTTCCTTGGCAGCCTCCCATCCAAATACTGACCACAGCTGACCCTGTTTAGCCTCCAAGATCTGATTAGATCAGGCTAGCCTGGGCCATCTGACCCAGGGCAATCTCACTTTACAAAGAGCTGCAAGGGCTTGAGTGCTGAAATGGAGAGAGGTACCTGGTGACAGGGATCTATGACTGTGGAGAAGTACACCTGCGCTCTGGTTTAGCTTGATCTTTGTTTGGTTTATGCAGGCACCAAGCCACATTTTCTGCATTTTTCGTTTCAATCCAGAGAGCTCAGGGAGGTTCTGAGTCTTCTAAAGGCTCACTGGCAGTCTTTAAGCACTTGTCAGGGATGCTCTAGGCTGATCCTGAATTGAGCAGGGGGTTGGACTAGATGGGCCTGTATGGCCCCTTTCGACTCTGTGATTCTATGAAAATGTACCGGGTTTGGGCGGCGGGGTGGGAGAGTGCCATGGCTTCATGTAAACCTGGCCCTGCAAACTGCGTGTCACTCAAATCCCCCATACATCTTAGTGCAATGTATTTAGTCCAGTCCTGACTCAGCTGGAATATCTGTGGATGTTCCAGGGCAGCCTGAGGCAGAACCAGGGGTCATTTCGTAGAAAAAGAGCTAGGGGGACTCATTAGCATAACTCATTAGCATATGCCACACCCCCTGACATCACCGGAAGTGTGTCCTCCCCACAGCCGGCGGCGACCTCCAGCGGGCACCAGCAGGGAGCTCCAGGCCCCGCCCTCCCGCACCTCACCCGGGGGGATGGCGTCCCCCCGCGTCCCCCCCCCCCAAATGACCCCTGGGCAGAACCCACAGCAACACTCACAATTTTCCAAAGCTCAGTTAAAATAGGGTTGAGTAGAGCGTGTGTTCAACATTATCGTGAACCTCAAAAGCTGGTTACTGAACACCTGCCAAACAGCAATGCAGAAAGCTGGGAAACCACGCATGAGACTAGAGAGGCTGTGAGATCTGTTGATTTTGCATAGCTGGATTCCAAATAAAATTGGCCCTACCTAGCTGGCTTAATTATAATGGTAGTAGTAATTGTAATAATTACACTTTTTTTATGTGCACGCATCACTTTGCATTCTTCTGTCTCAGGAATCCCTTACAACAGTTGTGCAAGCTAGACCGGTATTACCACCCACCCAATAAAAAGGGGAGTCTGAGGCGCAGGTGTGGCATCTAAGACTACCTGAAGAGGTTCATGTCTAAAATGAGATTTGAACCAGGGACCTCTCGTCTCGTGTTCTTAACGACACCAACTGCATATCATTGTTATTTTATCCAGTCTCATTGCAAGCAGCTCTGCATAATCACGTGCAGTTGCATTCCAATCAACTGCATAATCCTGAACCGAGAGGGAGAGAGTTGGGCTAGGCTTTGAGCTATAATTTGCCATCCTTGGCACAAATACCACCTAATACAGAACAAAGTTTGAATCAAGTGACACCCTACCAGCCACCCATTCCAATTTCAGCTCTGCATTTGCCTCTGGCCTCTGAGTGGCCTTTCCTAACGACTTACCTCCACCCTCTTTTTTCCTGTAACTATCTTTTGAGATTTTATTACAGCTACACTTTGAATAAAACTTTGTTGGTCTCAAAGGTGCCACTTGACTCAAACTTTGTTCTGCTGCTTCTGACCAACACGGTTGACCACCTAACACAGAATTTGAGTTCGTCATAGTGTGCCTGGATACCACCCTTTCTGTTAAGTGAAGATGTTTGGCTCCAGATGCTTCTTTTGCATAAGCGTGAAGCCTGCCAGCGTCTTCCAACAGCAAGGGTTAATCTTTCCCTGGGAAGCCGCTTGACTATCAGTGCGGGATTATTCAATTACTTCAGATGCATAGGAAAACCACCACCTCTTTTCTTTCATTTAATTGCTTATTAACCTTCCATCAGTGCAGAACATATTGTGCAATTCAAAAGGCGAAGGGGTGAACGCTTCAGAGAGATTTCCACAAACAGGAACTCTTCATTAGATGAGGATTCGGAACAGTTAGAATTTAATCTGTTTCAGATTCTCTCTAATTTGGTTAATTCTTTTTTGTTTCCTTGGCATCTGATCAGAACTGCTCCCCCCCCCTTTCTTTTTTTCACAGACACAACGAAGCTTACACATGGACTAACCCTACCTGCTGTGTACATAATGTAATTATTGGCAAGCTCTGGATAGAACAATATGGAACAGTAGAAATTGTAAATCACAGGTAATTTTGATTTACGACACATTGCCTCTTCTTAACACTGGAAAAGTGAGAGTGTGCCTTCCATGTATACCAGAAATATATTTTCCAGCCCACTAGATGATATAATCACCTTGAGTTTCTAAGTCTGTTGCCGATCACTTGGGAAGTCTAGCTTCGTGTTTATTTTGTGACTTGGTAGTGCGTGGCTTGCAGATTGCTGGGCTATGAAAGATCCTTGTCTGACAATTTGGAAAACTGTTGCCAGTTGGAGAAGATGGTACTGAGCTAGATGGGCCAACTCCTGGACTCAGAACCAGATAACTGCATATTTCAGAGATGTGGGCAGTGCCATAGGTAGAGCAGGGCAGGTGTCCCAGGCACAGTTTGAAAAGGGGTACTTTGGTTGCCTCTCAGTCAAACCGAGGAGAGTTGCGCAAAGTAACCAGGAGTCCTGACTGGCTTCTGACTCCTCTTCTGTCCTGGGGGAGTGACCCTCCATTCGTAAATTTCGTCTGTGCAGGGTTTGACAGGAGCTGCTGGTACTCTGGGGGAACTCTTATTCCATTAAGTTCTCTTCTTCTCTGGGCAAGGCCCGGAGACAATCTGTGCCAGTCAAGCAGGAGGTGGGTGCCTGAAACATGTGTAGGAGCAAAGCTGTGACTGCAAGACAGCCATTGGTGTGGGAGGAAGGAATCTCTGGGCTTCCCCTCACACGCCACCGTGCAAAGGCAGAAGGTGACACCTCAAAGCAAGGGTGCCCTCTGACTTGGACTGCTGGCCTGCAGTAGAAGAGCCAGATTTGAGTCCAGTAGCACCTTAGAGGCCAACCGGATTTCCAAGGTCTAAGCTTCTGAGGGTCAGAGCTCCCCCCATCAGATATCTGACAGAGCTTTAATCCTCAAAAACTCATACCTTGGAAATCTTGTTGTTCTCTTCAGGTGCTGCTGGACTTGAATCTTGCTCTGACTTGGAGCACGGAGTGACTGCTTGACCGCTCTTTGCTGTGTCTTGCAGAAGCCTCAGAACCTGCTGCAGTGCCATTGAATTGGGGTGCCATTTGTGAAACTTGCTCTACTTTTCCACCACTGCTTGTGGGAGAGGCATGTCGCATCTCTGGACCTTGATCCAGGGTTGCGTGCATGCGTGTCCCTGTGGAAGTGTTTTTGGAGGCTTCATTCTTCTCGGCAGTTAACGCGGGCAGCTTTTTGAGCTTATTATCAGTTTGAAAGTTTGATACAAGAACTTCAGACATGAACTGCTCCCGATGCATGGTTGCATGGCACTTGTTTCTCCTTCCAGGCTCCCCTTTTAGCAGCTATGGTACCAGATCTTTCAACCTATTCCTTAAATGCACAGTTGCTGAAATAATCTGTTTGAGGGAGAATCTGTGGGATAGTAGCTGCAGTCAAGAAGAATGTTTTGGGTGTCGTGATGGCCTTATGGCACAGTGACCCCTCATGTCATTTTTTACATGTGTGTTCCCCCTTGCCCCCATTCTGGAGAGCAGCCTTTCTGGCTTGAGTCTAAAGGGGATTTTGAAACTCCCGTTCAGTGCTTAGAGATTACAAATCAGTGGAGCTTTTTCTGGAATATTGTGAGAATTCAGGTCCAGTGAATTCTAGCTTTCTAACATGTCAACTTCACTTTGTTTCTCTCACAGTACCGGGGATAAATGTATCCTTAACTTCAAACCATGTGGATTGTTTGGTAAAGAGCTTCACAGAATAGAGGGCTATGTTCAAGACAAGAAGTAAGTGGAATGTTTGTCTGTGGACTTGCTTTCTGTTCCCTGTCAATGGGTTTGATCTGGTCTAAATTGAGTTGCAGCTGACCTGTTTGCCTGATTCCATATTCAGAGGCAGTAAACCTCTGAATACCGGAGACAACATCAGAGGAAGGCCTCAGCCTCTCTGCCTGTTACTGCCCCTCTAGAGTAGCTGTTTGGCTCCTGTGGAACAGGATGTTGGACTAGATGGACCAATTATTTGACCCAGCAGGGCTCTTCTTATGACTCTTACGTTGATTCTCTTCCCCACTCATATTTCTTTTCTATGTCAACATTATGTTTATAGGTTTAAGGATTATTCCTGTTGCCACTAGTTTAAGCTTAAAGTTTGTTCTTGGTGTTTGTTAGTAACAGTAGTCTGGGTGTAAACAAATATAAAACGACCTACTAGGGGTATGCAAGAAAAAAATATCATTTTTCCCCAGGTTCAGGTCTGTTGGAACAGAAACATATTGATATTTCCAGATATTCCCGAATCCCAATACTGATATGGTATTTGGATTCGGTAAATATTTGGGAATCATGAATTTTTTCAGGTTCATTATACTCTGTGAGGACCATTAAAGTCAATAGCAAATCTAGCCTTGGGTATATTTAGTGGTCTGGGGTGGGTTGAGGTAGAGGCACCAAATTTGCAGCATAGCTGTTGGAGCCCCTCCTCAGAAAAAAAACCCAAGTTTCAAAAAGATTGGACCAGGGGGTCCAGTTCTATGGGCACCCAAAGAAGGTACCCCCATCCTCCATTGTTTCCAGTGGGGGGAAAATAGCAAGGCAATACAAGCCCAGTAGAATGTCCCAGAAGATCCTCTGCAGTAGAAAGTGAAGTGTGTGTGTGTGTGGGGGGGACATCTTTGTAAGACCTGCAACAGAGCCAGTGTCACTGTGGCATTGCCATAACCCAGCAGGACTAAGCTCAAATCTGAGAATCTCTGAAGTCGAAATGGGGGGGGGGGCATTTCTGAAAGAACAGCAGAACCCAGTGCTAACCTACTGGTGCCCAACAGCAGAACCCAGTGCTGACCTACTAGTGCCTAGCAGCAGAATCCAGTGCTATTGTGGCAAATGCCAGCTCAACAGGACTGATGTCAAGCACAGAATCACAATCCAAATTAAGGGGAGAGGGGTTGCAAAGAAAGCAGAACCGGTGCTAGGGATGTGCAAAAAAAAAAAATTTGGTAAAATTCGGATTCGGGTTTATTGGACCCGAATTTTTTCGGGAAACCCGAAAAAACCCGAATATCTATACCGGTAAAGCATAGATATCCGAAAAATTTCGGGAATCCCGAAAAATTCGGGTCCATTGTAACCAATGGGGCCATTGAAGTCAATGGCAAAAATCCTCTTGAAACTTTGCGGGGGGCTGGGGGGGAGGGGGTTTGGGGTAGAGGCTCCAAACTTGGAGGGAGCTCACTGGAACCTCTTCCCAACATGCCCACCAAGTTTCAAGGCGATTGGACAAGGGGGTACAATTTTATGGCCCCCC